ACGGACGTGAGGGGTGCTAATACCTTCCCCTTGCGTAACCGACTCCCGAACCCAGACAATGGTTGCGATGACCTTGTCTTACCCTTATTCGTCAGGTTTCTCCGATCGTTTCCTTTCCCGTTCTGAGGGATAAATAACGAAAGGTGGCGACTCTTCTGTCATGCCGGCACCTTATTTTCGCGCAAGCGACAATCTCAACAATGGCATCCTCCACTACCAACATCAAGGATTCTAAGAAAAATCAAAAGTCCAAAGATCTGAAGAAAATTTCTCAACTTCCAGCTTTTGACACGCTATCAGCACCAATGATGATGGGGAACCAGCAATTTCTCCCTGAGCCACTTGCAGAAGAGAAGAGGAAAATATACGAATCCCAAGTACTTATCCCTCTTGTTGTATCTGGTAAAACGCATGCCCTATGTGGGCCTCTGCCTTCATCTGGTTTTGAACATAGTAAAGCTAGGGACTTTTCCCTTCCTACCACAAATCTAAACTCATAGGACAAGCCAACAAAGTTAAGGTTGAGAAAACCTCTGCTGATGCGATAGTGCTGAACAATATAGATTTAAGATATATGAACAACAACTTTAGGATTTTTAGAGAGATACCCTCCTTCAAGGAATCAGATGATTACATGAATTGGCTAGCAAAGATAGAAAAGTAAAAGCTCAAACTTGGAAAAACTAGGAATTTATGATTTAGTCATGTTGTCGAAAACAAGCCTCGACTATTGTCAAACCATGTTAGTCTCTTCCTTGTATTTCTGGGACAATACCCATTACACCTTCCATCTCCCTTGTGGGATGATAACCCCCACGCTTTTTGACATAGCCGCAATTACAGAGCTTAAACCCACCGGAAACCCATATAATCCTGACTTGGAATCTAATGATTCCATAGGTTTTAATTCCGCAAAGGCCACATAATCTCATTTTATAGCGCACTTTTTCGACAAGACCACTGTTGATGTTTCTGATCAGGAACATATAGCCTTTTTAACCGTATGGTTATCCCACTGCATTTTCTGCTCGAAGTCCCTACAAGTGGCTAGGAGGTACCTGACTCTGGCCACTCAACTCTACAGAGGCCACGACATCTGCTTAAGTGAAATGATTCTGGGGAACCTTTACGAGTCTCTAAGTGAAGGGGTAGCTCAACTCAAAGACTTGGGAGCAAAGGGAAACTTGTTATTATCTGGTCCTTTCTGGCCTTTGCAACTCTGGATAAGTGCCTCGTTCGAAGCTAGCCTTCCTAACAAAAACTCAGTTCACGAAGCTGCCGACGAGATCAAAAATAGGAGAATCGAAGGAACACACTTGGTCCAGCTTACTCCCCACGAAGAAGGACAGACCCTTAGGCCAATTTTCCTAAGCTACGTCATGATGTTTGCAAAACGTCATGAATTTACTTTGAACATGGCCCCATTTGCTGCAAGAAAACATGATCCTGAGTGGTTCACCAGACCTTTCCTGACTCCAAATAAAACTCTAGAGGCAAAATCTTCACAAATCTAGGAAGCCTTTTTTATCCCAAGGTTGATAACACTTCGACTGAATCTGTCGAAGTCTCAAGTTGCTTTGGTTTCCTATCAACCAAACTTGGTGGCTCAACAGTTCGGTTTAGTCCAAACACTCCCCAAATGCCTCTTCGAAAAGAAATATGCTCTTATACTTCACAGTGTGAAGTATACTGAGGAAATGGCTACGACACATTTTCTCCGCTACTCCAGCAAAGTTTAACTCGTCCCCATTGGCTTCGATCCCTGCTTCTACTGTACCCCAAAGTTCAACCACTGGTGGTCATCGTACTATGCTGAAGAATTCTTCGATGCACCTTCTTTTACTCGACTTATTAATCAAGCTTTCCTATATGTGCAGGAGAAGATCAAGAAAGGTAATACGACACACATCAAATAAATCCAAGCATTCCAGAAGTACTTTGAAACTGTTTATTGACCAGATGACCTTAGTCAAACCGTCCGCGAAGCAGCTGTTACATTAAAGGAATTTTTTTTAAAGAAAATGAAAATTCTGGAACTCCCTTCGTTCGTTCCTCCCAAGGAACGGTACGCACTAGCCTTCAAACAATTTCCTATGAAATTTTCTCAACTACCAAATGCTAATTTTGGAGTGGTCATTTCCCCTCCATTCCCAGACTGGTTTATCTGTGGGGATTCCATGAAGATTCTTCGTCAGCAGTCGAAACCAAAGGCTCAGCGGGTGGTTGCGACTAAGCATACTTTAGACAATTTCAAATATGGGTGGCAAAATGGATGGATTGGATTGTTAATGGATGGATAAAAATAATTCATTAGTCCGTTAACAATCCGCTAAAATTTTCTTAAAATTATCCAATCCAATCCATCCGTTAAGAATAATATCCATCCAATCCATCCATTAACATATTTTTAATGGATGGATATCCATCCATCCAATTTTTTTTTATTTCAAAAAAGCAAACATATTTTTTTTATCCATAAATCTAACAAAAATAAAAATAATTCATTGGATCCTTAAAATATGTTGGATGGATTGAATCAATCCATGCATATAAATGAATGGATTTAATCCAATCTATTAACTTACTTTTTATGTGGTGGATGGATTTGATGGATTGGATGGATTTTGCCTTAGTGGATCCAATTGTCACCTCTAGTTTCAAAGGTCCTCTTCATAACGATATCGAAGATGTTTGCATTGAATCCGAAATATATGAAGGTGTGGAATGGGAGGTTCTTCAAACTAAATTCCCCTATTTGATTTTTTATCATCTTACTTGTATTATTTTGTTTGACTTTCAGCTGTTAAAGTTGCCCCAAAAAAGAAGAAGCAAATCAAAGAACAAACAGAGGAAAGCACTCCAATTGCTAATGTAAATTTCTTACTTAATTTTCCCCAACTACAAAGTCTTCGGTTGTCTAATGCATCAAGTTTTTCAGAGTTCACAAATGCCACCCCTTACTCTCAAAAAGCAAAAGACAATGGGGACTTCCCACCAAATCATCATCGAGTCAGACGAGGAGGACCAATCTCCTCCTGAAGAACGAACTTTGAAGACGAGGAGGAAGCAAACCAAGATAACTGAAGCCTTCAACCAGGCAAAACCAAAGGCTAGCAAACTCTCGATAACAACAACTCTTACTAGCCACGCAGCACAAGATGAAAGCGACAATTCTAGTCATGGGGCTGATGAGCCCAAGGTAAAAACTTCTTTTATAACTTTGTATCGTTTCTTTATCATTTACTCTTCTAATTTTTTTATTTTTCCTTCACAAATTACCACCGACACCAGGGGTCAACCCATGGTGAAGCATCTTATCCCCATAACCAGCAGTGACCCAAGCTACCATCCAACAACTCCGTCTAGGGCCTCTGCGAGAGGCTCGACAAAAGGTTCTTATGAGGGAATCCATTCTACCTATACTCTCAAGAAGATGCCAGTTGTTCCTGTGGTGGAGTTCCCCCATGTCGAAGCATCTGCTCAAAAAGAGGACCCTGTCGAGAAAGAGGTTGTTGACCTTTCTGGGGACACTGTGATACCGGATATAGAGCAACCTGCTGAGGGTGATCTCGAGGGAAAAACAAGTGAGGATGACAACCTCATTGAAGAGGAAGAAGAAAATGAAGAGGAAAATAATGAAGAAGAAGAAGAAGAAGAAGAAGAAGAAGAAGAAGAAGAAGAAGAGGAAGATGAAGAAGGAAAAGAAGAAGAAAAATAAGAAGAGGAAGGAGAGCAAACTGCATCTGATGCAGAGACTGAGGTGGAGGCTTTAGAAAGCTAAGTGAACTAAGACAATCAGTCTAAGGATCCTCCACCCAATACTTTGACTGGCATTCAATCGACCAGTATTTCCCATGAATAACTGGAATCTCTAAAAGTTCAGCGACCACTGGAGTATTTAAAGCTTATGCTTAGTTTCCAATACAGCTTTGGCGACAAAAGTACTACTATTTCGACTGCCTCAGGAAACATCCTGTCTGGGAAAACTGATGTGACTTGCTGGCGCAGATAAAAGAATATATTTTTAGACCGATTATCTACTCTACAAGTAATAATCGTACAATATAAAACTAAATTATTTTATATTAGAGATGTCGTAGTTGAGAGAATACTTTGTATAATTTTGTACAAACACCGAAAAATCTTTTAAAGAGAACAACATAATCTGCGACTCGACTCGATAATTTCTTTAATAATTTGTTTTTAAAACCATAAAAAACAACTTTTATCTAAATTTTATTTAAAATATAAATTCTTTATAGTTTCTTTATTATTTTTTATTATCAAAATCAAGTTTTATCATCATGGACCCAAACTTGTTTTTTACTCAACCCAAACACTTACTTTAGTTTCCTTTTTTAGGTTAGTGTAAGCACTGTTCTCTCCTAAGGAATGTTCCACTTTCTCACAAGTGTTTTGTATGTGCTAAGGTTTTTGCAGCATCCATGTCTGTTTTTTTAATTCTTTAGTGCATAGTGTGATGATGATGATAGAATTAGAGAAATGACATGCATAATTAGTTTATGACTTTTCCTCTCTCTCTCTCTCTCTCTCTCTCTCTCTAAAACACTATCATCCTATGTTTGTGGAGCATCTGTTCTGTAGCATTTGATTCCTTTTTAACCTGATCTTGCTCTTTTTTCTTCTTCTTTTGGAACCAATTATTAACTACACCCTTTAAACCCCTTTCCAAAATTGCATGCTTTGTGTTTGTGAAATTGTCTCTGTTACCAAACTTCAAAGAAAATTGATTTCATTTTCCAGGTATGTTCTGTTCTCTTCTGTCCCCTTTTCTTTTTCTTTCAATTTTTGTTTCAAGTTTATGCCTTTAGATACAAAACTTGCTTCTTAGAAACTTTATTTTTGGTTTTTCAGTTTATTTTGTTGCTAACAAGTAACAACCAAATAGAGATTGAAGTGGGTTCTGAGTAAAGGGTTAAATTAGGTTTAGAAATGGAAGATATAGAGTTCTAGGTTTTTGGTGAGTCTTGGAGAAAAAAATGGTGTCTCAAAGTGGAACTGTTCAAGAGTCAAAGACTGCACCTTTATCTAGGTCAGGATCTTTGTATAATCTAACCCTTGATGAAGTTCAAAACCATATTGGTAATTTAGGGAAACCACTTGGAAGTATGAACCTTGATGAGCTTCTCAAGAGTGTGTGGAGTGTTGAAGCTGGCGAGGTTTCTGATTTCGGTAGAGATGGTGCTGCTAACATGCAGCAGAATCAACTTAGCGAGATGAATCGACAGGGGAGTTTAACATTATCTGGAGATATTAGTAAGAAAACTGTTGATGAAGTATGGAAAGATATGCAAGTAAAGAAGAGGGGTGTTGATAGGGATATGGAAGCACGCGAAAGACAACAAACACTTGGTGAAATGACTTTGGAGGATTTCTTGGTGAAAGCTGGTGTTGTTGGTGAATCTTTTCATAATAAGGAAGGCGGTGATTTGTTAAGGGTTGGTTCGAATGAGGATTCTCGGAAAAATGTATCACAGCATGATCATCATTGGATGCAATTTCAGCTTCCTTCAACAACGCAGCAGCCTCCACAGCATCAGCATGAAAAGCATTTGATGCCTGCTTTTATGGCTGTTCATGCCATTCAACAACCTTTTCAAGTTGCAAGGAATCCAGTTTTGGATGCAGCGATGTCACCGTCTTCTTTAATGGGTACTGTTAGAAAATAAAATAATATCTTATAGTATTTTGATACTATGCTAGAATATTTCGGTTTATCTAGTTATTATCAACAATGTTCGATGCTCTTGGTATTTTTCTCCTTCTATTTTTCCAAAGCCTCACACCTTTATCAGGTGCTTTTTCAGATACACAAACACTAGGTCGAAAAAGGGTTGCTTCTGGTATAGTGGTAGAGAAAACCGTGGAGAGGAGGCAAAAGAGGATGATTAAAAATCGGGAATCTGCTGCTCGGTCAAGAGCTAGAAGACAGGTTATTCTCTTTCTTCTGTGTATATGGTGTTATATCTTTGAAGTCTTTCTTTATTTTATTTTTTGATACAAAGGAAATATCTGTGCCAATGGAATCAACAGGCTTATACACAAGAACTGGAACTTAAAGTTTCACGCTTAGAAGAGGAAAACGAAAGGCTTAGACGACAGAATGTATGTTTCTGTGCCTTTATGAATATGCATTCTAGTTATTCGCACCATTGAGCTGATTTTGGTATCTCTGGCTTCTGTGTATATCCTTGGCTGGCAGTCACTTCTCTCTAATTTTATGCATTGTTGTCGGTCTACTTTCCTTAATATTTATCGCTATGCCTATTTTCTTCAAAAGTTATAGTGCTAGAAGATAATAAAGATTGTTTCATAAACAGGAATGGCCTCTGGTTTTCTTAGTCCATGTTATTTAATAGACAGATTGATTGGATTTCAATGAAAGAGGGTTGGAACTGCGGCATAGAAAGCTATACAATGCGCGTATACATGTTATACATCTACTGAGATAATTCATATATACTCACGGTAATATTTTTGTTGTTACAGGAGATAGAGAAGGAGGTGCCATGTGTGCCGCCACCTGAGCCTAAGAATCAGCTACGCCGAACTAATTCAGCATCCTTCTGATGTGATGCTATCACAGTTCTCATGTGCATTATGCATTTGACTCTCAAACAAGTTTCTATGCAGTTGGAAGTGCATTTACCACTAAAGTTTTGTTGTATCTATATTTTTATCAAGTCTGAATTATGATATATATTTGAGTCTAATTCTGGAGCTACTTGTGGATTAACTACCATTTTCTTTTTCTATATGAGCATTTTTGTAACTTATAGGCATTGCCAGAGTAGTCAGTAGTCAATCTCAGGCACGGAACAGTTGGCTCCAAAAGTTGGATAGCGGGATAATGCCGGAATTGACTGCCCTGTCATTGTTCCATTGTATTTGCTTAGACAAGTTGAACTTTTAACTATTTCATTTCAAGTAGAAAGTACTTGCTGTTCGTGTGAAGAAGTTTGTAAAAGAGTGGAATTTGGTTACATATATGTGAATGATGATTGCTTGCTAGTAAATGATCAATTGTTTATTAAGTGAATGTACTTTTTTGACCTTATATGATGATAACAAATAAGAATTTCAATTCTCAATTTGTGAATTTTACTCTTTTATTTCAAATTGAAATTTTCCAATTGATTGATGTGACTCTGATTGGAATAACAGTGAGAGCATCAAGTTTTTTTGACTTGTGTGAATGGATTCTAGTGGAGCAGCATCACAATATTTTTGTTGGCCAATTTGAATTGAAAGAGTATAATCATTTTTATAAAATTATCTTTATAAATTGTTAATCACATGTTTTGTAAGTGTTAGTTGACTTAAGTGTAATACACATAGGATGATTAGATTTGAGATAGAATTAGAATAAAATAATAGATACTATAATATTGAAAATATAAAATGTAACTTATTTAAGAATGTTTTTATGTGACTAGTTTAGTAGCAAATATTCTTATCTCAATTTGTTCAAGTGGGAGCACATCAATTTTAGTGGAGGAAAGCACTACATGAAAATGTGTCCCCCATTTGGTGTATACAAAAGAGATGGAGTATGAGACCTCATTTGTTGCATTGTTGTGAAATTGCATTATTGCTATGGATTCAATCATCTAATACAATATTTTTAGCTTATAATTACAAGACTTTCTCATGTACAATAACAATGTCTTTTGGTAATGTCAAGTAACTACATGTTCCATGCTGCATGCCTCTATATCATAAAAATTTAGTAGAAATGAAATCTGCAATTGCCAAGCTTGATGTTAAACCAGGTGACTCAATTCCCAAAAGATTAACAAGTCCAGGTATCCCATGAATGTCCTCTCCCTGCAAATATTAAATAGAAGGAAGAAATCGTATCGAAAATTTGAACTCTAATACCTTACACAAAACTGTCAATAGAAAGGTGAAACTGTATTTAAACCTGTATAACAAAATCAACAGGTGACTGACAGGGTCCCGAAAGTTTAGGTCGGATTCCCGAATATCCTGGTTCCAAAGATCCATCTTTTAGATTCGGATAGTATTTTCTTATCTCTGGATAAAACTTCTCGGCACGGTTTGCATGTACTGAGTAGTCGAACCTATGATCAACGGTTACCATGGCGTTTAGCCATGTTAGACGCGAGCAAATGTTGCTATGGGTCATATAAAGCAGATATTAAAGAAATTCAAAAACATGCAGATGAAAGTTTATTAGAAAGTACTTATTTTGAAAGCTTGAGATATCATCAACACCGTCGATCCATTCAACATCCGGACCAAACTTGACCTGACCATTCAAGTCTAAAGTAACATGCACTCCAAGTCCACCATCCTCTGGTATAGGATATATCAAACGTTTGAAAGGAGCTTTCGTATTCGACAACGTGAAGTAGCAACCACGCGCATAATAGGCAGGAGGAATGACTCGGTGTTGTAGGCCCGTAAATCTTTTTGCAAGGGCAGGGGCACTAAGGCCTGCAGAGTTTACTACAAGTTTAGGTATAAGTAATAATTCTGGTTGCAGAATTGATCTCTCATTCCATTCCTTAAGACTCTTTGTTTCTGATATATGGAGAGAAAGCTCATTTCCTTCTATATGTCCGCCGATGACGGTTGAATTGTATGTGAAGGTTGTTCTGTGATTTTCAGCTTCCCCCTGAACCAATGACGGTACCATATTTAATACAAAATGTTGTCAAATAGCAGCACAGCAGTGCTATAGCATGGTAGCATAGCGGAATATGAACGAACCGTTAATTTACGTGACCTGCAATGTAAAACACTAATTTTATCCAAATGTGGATATGTTAGTCCATCTTTACAACATGGTAAAAGAAGCTAGAAATGCATACCACTAAAGAAAGCATTAAGGAATGAGAATCGACAATCCCTGAGAGAGGTGATAGTATTGCTTTCACGCATTGCAATTCTGGTTCCATTTTCATGGCTTCAACACCATCCATCACCTTCAAACCGTCAACACCGTTCTGAATACCATGATTTAATATATCATTTAACTTTGGAATCTCGGAGGATCGAGTAGCCACTATAAGCTTACCAGTTTGTTCATGTGGGATATCGTGCTTTGAGCAGTACTCGTATAACATTTGTCGTCCTTTTACACAAAAAATCGCCTGCAAAAAAAGATTGAATTAAATCCTAAACAAAAAGAGGAAAAAACTAAGAAAAGAAAAATACTCAAGAATGTGATAAGATGTACAAAACTATTTGCTACTTTCACTTTGCAAGAAGAAAGAATATCTTAGGGTTTTAAATGATTGTCCGCACACAACCATAACTACGGCGGTAAGATATCAAGGTTTATGAGATACTAGTAGTGCCTGCATCGCAATTGTTGGTGCATTAGTAACAATTTTACGCGATATCACCAATCGCAAAAACATATCTGTCAAAGCTGTCTTTTAGGGCGTGGAAGGTGGACTACCGTACAAGGCTTAAAATTTGAAACGGTTAAAGAGTGGCCAAAAAGAGCCTCAAAATACGACAACCTACACAGGGCCTCCAAAAATTTAAGACGACCATGTCCACGAGAGAAAGATTAAACTTTTGAATGGTCCTAAACCTAGGTAATTTACTGCAACAGCAGTTCACTTCTGAAATCTAAAGCAAACATGGAATATAGCCATGCATACTTCAATGGTTCAAACTACACCAATTGCCCAAATGTTTAATGAACTATGAAGTCCAAACACCGGAAAGACGCATTGACACTGACACTTCGACACTAAAAATTTGAAAAAATTAGTAAATTCTACGCGATCGCAAGTGTCGGTGTCGGTTTCAGACACCGAAACTGACACATTTTTTCAGAGGTGTCGGCGCTACCGAGATGGTGGATTAAACTCAACTTCCTATACATAATGAAATCATTAAACACATTGCGCCCTAATTTACAATAATCCTTCCTTTTTGGTCCAACTCAATCTTAAAAACACACCCATTTCAGGTTCCAGCTTCTAGGTTAAATCTCACCAACCCAATTTAATTTTCTCACCAGCCAACATGATATCAAGATTTAACAACAATCAAAAACCTAAAAATGAAAACTTTTTTAATGGGTTCACCAAAAAATGAAAACTTTAATAACAAAAAGACACACCAACCTTAAAAGAATCACGAGGGTAGTAAATTCCAGCATGAACAACTTCACTATTTCGAGAACTAGTGCCAGTACCAAAACTAGGTCCTGATTCAATGACAATTACCTCTCTACCCTTGAGTGCTAGAGCTCTTGCAACTGCTATTCCAACCACACCAGCTCCTATGACTACACAATCCACTTTCTCCCTTGGAACAGAGTACGAGGTTGTTGAATCATTTTGTGTAGTACTGCTAATGTTTCTGACAGAATTGGCAAATATGTGATTCCATTTGATATGAACATTACACTGTTTCAATGTTAGAATTGTTTTCTTCAGCATTGCAAGTCAATCAGATGCAGATTTTGTTGTTATGCTTTTCGATTAGATTGATTGTTGATAGAGAATTATGATCAATTTTGGTTAATCATGGTTTCCCTTTTGCAATTTTGATTAATCATGGTTTCCCTTGAAAAATATTTTATCCTAAATTATAAACTACTTTATAATTTGCTATATTTATGATTTTTTTTATATACATATATTTATTATTATTATTTCTTTTAACTCATTTAATTTCTTATAATTTGTTTTTTTTCTTCATAAAATAATAATAATAATAATTTCATGTATATTTATAATTTGCTTTCTCTTTCATATATAATTTGTTCTTTTTCATTTAATATATTTCTCGTATATATAATTTATTTTTCTAGAAAATAATAATTATAATTTGTCTCTCTCACGTGTAACTTTATAACTAAAATTCTTCAATTTTTTAATAATAAGTTAGTCTTTTTTAGTTTTTACACGTTTATTTTAACAATATATATATATATATATATATATATATATATATATATATATATATATATATATATATATATATATATATATATATATATATATATATATATATATATATATATATATATATATATATATATATATATATATATATATATATATATATATATATATATATATATATATATATATATATATATATATATATATATATATATATATATATATATATATATATATATATATATGGTTATTCTTATTTTAGAAATTCACATTTTGATCATTAATTTATTTTTAATCTATAGTTAAAAATAATAGGTATTTATTGTTATGTAACCAATTTGTTTTTTTTTCTATATTTAATTATTGATTATGATTAACCATCGATTAAAAACAAATAATGATAAGATGTGAACTAAGTTTTAACAACTTAATTCTAAAATAAAAACTAGTGGGATACGCACGGATATTGTTACGCACATTTGTTATAAAATTTTAATAAAAATAAAAAAAGATAAAATTATTTAATTAAGAAAATTTATTCTTTTTAAAAGAAAAATGTATTTTTCGTTATATTTGTAGCATAAATATAATTATTTCATATATACATATATTTAGATCAACCATATATTTTTATGTAAATATTAATTTCATTTTCCTTTATTTATACAATCATTTAGTTTAATAAAATTCAACTAATAACATAGTATTTGTAAATATTATTTTAATTATATAAATAAATATTAATAATATAAATAAACACGATTTGTATGCTTGAATCAAGACATTATTTTAAATATTTTTATTTTTATTTTTTTTTATTATACAAAAAATATATATATAATAACTCGTGTGTTCGCACGGATAATAGTATGGATATCCATGTGTTCGCACAAATTCTGGTTTGGATACCTGTGTGTTCGCACGATTGCTGATGTATTACGCGCATTTGTTTTTAAAATATAATAAAAATATAAAAAAGAAAAACAATTTCCTTTTTTTTACTAAAAGAGTTTATTATTTTTAAAACAAATATATATTTTAAAAAATTTAATTAAAAAAAATTATTTTCATCACATCATAATTTTTCATGGGTGTGATTTTATATGTAATTATTAAAATTTTTAATAGGCCTCTCCACTATATAATATAATGAATATTTGTATACTTTTATATGTTTTATCAAAATAGATCGCTCAATTTCTTTATAAAAATAAAGTGTCCTACCTCCTCATCATACAAATAAAATTCTTTGGCTGATTTTCGTTAATGGTTGTCATTTGTTTAACTTTATTAATAATATATGATATGCTCCACTTTCTTTCTACCAACACACACCCATTTCAATTTCATACATCACTTTTCACACATAAAACTCTCTTTACACAATTTCAACAGTAAGCATTGTCCAATATATTACTACAACACCTATATTTTGTACACAGGAGGATAAGATACGTGAAGCCATTACAAATGTTGGATTTGAAGCCAAATCCATGGGATAGAGTTCAAACAACACCTCATTACAAATATGTTGAGTACATATAGATGGCATGACTTGTACTTCTTGTTTCTTGTTCCTCCACTGCCGAATCAGCTCTTCAATCCCTTTTTGGGTGCAAATAGCACAAGTGGCTAGGGGTGTGCAAAATAACCAATAATCATACACCAAATTTCTATCCAAATTAATTCAAATTTTAAAATCCAAACCAAATTTATATTTTAAATTTGGTGGCCCATTTATCAAATTAAAAAAAAAACCGGTAACCATTTGTTCCAAACCGGATTGAGATTCGGTAACCATTTTTTTTAAAACTTGGTTACACCATTTTATGATGCTTTGATTTTATGTGTTCTCTGCAATTTGTGATCCTGTGTGTGATTCAATCGTATGTGCTATTTTTCTTCCGATTCATTCTTCAAATCATGCATGCTACTACTGTGAAAAACAATGTGTTATTGTCTTCGTGTTGTGCCTCTAATTGTAGATCCTTTTTGTGAATGAGGAAGGTTCCTTTTATAGGTTTGAATGCATTAAATTATGATTTCAATTGAATGCGGAATTGCTTTCGTTTTGGAAAGAAAAAATGTACGGTTACTAATCGGACTCCACATGGATGAATTATTGACTGATGATTGTGATTTGCCATGAATACATTTGATTTTCTCCCTTATTTTCACTAATGCCATAACTATATTTCTAGTGAAGTCGATCACGTTCCTTGATCCTTTCCTTATTTGAAGATTTGATTCAAATTTGCTTTTTTTAATTTGGAAATTCTTGAAATGCTGAAACATGATTGTCAAATTAAGAAATTTGTTTTTTTTTTAATAAAATCGGTTTTAAAACTAATTTCTTTAAAGAAAATAAAAAACTGGTTTTGAGAGAAATCGGTTTAAAACTGGTTTTTAAAAAAACTGTTTTTTTCTTTAAAAACCGGTTTGAAACCGAACCGATCCACTTGTAAATCGGTTTTAAAAAAATAAACCGGTTTTATATAAATGGTTTTAAGATCCAAACCAAACCATATATGTGGTTTGGTTTGGTTTATAATCCATACACACCCCTACAAGTGGCCTTAATAACAAAAGAAGCAGAAATCCCTTACAACCCAAACATCATAAGCTACAATCAAATAATAGAAGTTATTTCACACACATGTTTTAAACCAATATTAATAAGCAAAGGAAAACATATTAGCAAAATTGAACTTCAAATTGATGGCATAAAAAGTGACCAATCAATGAATATTATTGAACATTCTCTTAGATCACTCTAAGGTATTGAAACCATAAACACATAAGCGAGACAAAATTAATCGACACTTCAAGTTATTAATATAGAGTTTTACAACAACAGAGTCAACCAAGCACCAATCCAATAAAACCACAAACTACTCTAACGAGAATCACGACTTCAAAAACTCAAACACCATGGTCTATTAGCAAGACTTGAAGCTGAGAAATGTAGAAGCCAAGGTGAGACATGCAACGAAAGAATTATGGCACAAAATTGAAATAGAACAGCCGCGAAAAGAACACACACCAACCAATCCGAAGAACAACCTGCTGCGATATTGCTCCAAAGCTACATTCAACCTGTTAAAGGACACATAAAGTTCAAATTCCAAACTTGTAAGATTCTATAATAAAGCCAAACAGTAAATAATTATACTTAAAAACACTAAACCTTCCAAAAATATATTATTTGTCTCTATGTATAAAGAAAGACAGTGGTAGTTATGATATGTACAAACATATCACATCATATTAAGTACTATCTCACATGAGAGTATTAGATGATTTACAGGAGTTCCTTATATGAAGGGAAAGTAATTGATAAGTGTCGGCATGTATCACTCTGTGCATAAAGTTGGTGTTAAACTTTTCCATAAAAATCCATAATAAGTGTCGGCATGTATCATATTGTCTTTCTCATATTTTGTAAAAAGCCATTAATGAAGAACATTTGAGTAATTACAAAACCATTGTTAGAAGGATAAGAAAGAAGGGTATGTAGTGTTATAAAGGAGATGAAAGAAGGATATGTTGAACCATACAAATATGCTTCACAGGTCAGAACCAACCATCAGCCATCATAAATGTACATGAAAAGTTTAACAAAATCATAGCAACATGAAAGACTACCTAGACAACAACATTTGAAGAATCTATCACTTTGTAAAGTGGAACCATATACGTCTGCTTTGACCTTTATCAAACATGCTATGCCGAAATAAATCTCTAAATTCATCTGCTTCATAGGCTTCTGCAGATGCATCATACTTCTCTTTAAAATCATTTGTAAAGGAAAGTAATGTAAGAAGAAATCAATAATATTGCAAACTCCAGTCTATCAAACTCGGTAAGTGGCGATTGAGATAATGATTTAACATTACTAACACATTCCGCCGATCAAACGATGCTGCATCTTTAAAAAATATACTGAGAATCACACACAGCAGAACATGAACCTCAAACAATTGGTTACTGATATTAGATTCTTTCGTTTCAGGAATATATAACACTTTGAATAAAAATAATGGAAAACAAAAGTAAAACAAGTATTTATACAATTATATACAATATAGACAATTATGTACAAAGGTTAGAAATATAGAAACTATCTCAATGCGACTCAATATCAAAACCAATCCCTGGCAACGGTGTCATTTTGTTGATACGGTAAAGCAGCAAGCAAAAACTTTATTTTTGGAAGAATTCCTTCGGGGTTTATGTCGTCTCCACATGGATCGGTTTGAGGGAAAGAATGTCGTTTGACAATCTCCATGTATTTAAGCTTGGGTTTGAAATGGTTCTCCAAGGGTAACATGCGAAAATTAAAAGCATAAAATCAAATAAATAAACAAATTCTTTAGAAAGGAGAAACTCATAAGGAGTTACATTTTCTTATACCCATCATGTACGAGAAAAAACCTATCGATCAAATGCGCTCACCCTAATACCCGTCACCCTAACGTAAAGTTCAAGAGATCAACCATGTTTGTTCGAAGGTGATATCTCACACGAGAAAA